AGAGACGACTCCACAGGATCTCATTGCTGAATTTGGACCACCTGATGCTATCTATCGAAAGAATGACCGGAGAATATCCATTCACCGGGCAGCTGGAAATAATAGTGCAGCAGATGCGCTGCACATGAGCCCTTCCCCAGGTAGGGGGATCGATGTCACTGACACGGATCAATCTTCGAGCAACAGCGTCACTGATGACTCAGATGAGGAGATATCCCCCGTCAATAGTATTGACCCTTCATCGCTCCCTACTGAATGCTTCTTTAATTATTTCCATCACGGTTTCGATGCCTTCATCTCGTATCCCTCTGTCGTCGGCCCTGCGTTTCCGGGATCTGATTTGTCCGACGCATCACCTGCACCACCACCTTCGTCTCAACTCGTCGTCACTAAGATCATACTGCACGGAAATATTCCAGGCTCATATCCCTTCAACCGTCATCGACGTAGTCGTTGGACGATCAGTCTCGATCCGGCAGGTGATGTCGTGACATCCGAGACCCTGTACGACGCAATTTCTGAGAAGTTGAGAGAGGTCTGGAAAGGATCTTATGCAAGCACTGCGGAGGAGCAGGCTCTGCAACGGCCCATGGTGCTGAATCGCGGTTGGGGGAACAGTCCTGAAAGTAGTGTCGAGTTCCTCGGCGGTTGGGAAGAAACTACTGGCAGAGGACATAGAAACGGTCATGATGGTCATGATGGGGGCCTGGGTAATACAGAATTATTCGGCTTTCCCGGGTTACTATTCGAAGTGATGAAGAATGGGGCTGTGAGCTGCTTGACCGTATATTGATTGCTGCTTGGGATGGTATAGACTGGAGTCTGGAGTTCGCCTATCAAGTTCGACATCACTTCATGAGTCACGACATACGAGTCACGACGTTGCCAATTAGACGATAACTTAATTATTTTCTCAATGGAATTACATTTTATAAGAGATGATGGTATTTTTCCCCAAGAGAATCTGTCATCTTGGTAACTTTGCAAAAGGTCGTTGACATAGTATATATGTCAGCTTTAGAGTTCCAGGCACTAGGCTCTAGTGTTATCTCCAATCGGCCCCAATCTGTCGAGGACGACGGGTCCCCACAATTATTTTTCCTCTGTCTCCGCTCATAACTCCAACCCAAATCTTCAACGCGATCAACCTCAACCTCACCTCCGAGGCGGGATATGCTTCAACGGTAGTATGCCGGAATTGCCTCGGTCGCTCACTCGGTCCTGGTCGTCGACGCTGAAACTACCCAAGTCGACATTCCCCGCACGCGTGACGCCGGCCGACCAGACAAAATACCTAAAGCGATGCACCGACGAGCTCTACGCCTGGCAGCGCCGTGAAAGGCCCGCCGACCGACCTTTTGTATTGCATGATGGTCCCCCCTACGCAAATGGCGACCTTCACGTTGGACATGCTCTCAACAAGATACTGAAGGATATAATTTGCCGAGTGCAGCTGGCTAAGGGGAGGCGCGTTCGGTATGTGCCCGGATGGGATTGCCATGGATTACCCATCGAGCTCAAGGCGCTTGAGCTTCAGAAAGAGCTTGGGAGCACCGGGGGATCCATCGGTGCGGCTGCTATTCGAAAAGCTGCACGTAAGCTGGCAGGGCGGACAGTCAAAGAACAGATGAAAGGCTTTCGAAGCTTTGGCGTGATGGCCGACTGGGAGGGCCATTGGAAGACTATGGACAAGGCATTCGAAAAAAGACAACTTGGTGTTTTTCGACAGATGGTGGATAAGGGATTGATCTATAGAAGGTTCAAACCTGTCTACTGGTCGCCGTCTACCGGGACAGCGCTTGCGGAAGCCGAATTGGAATACAAAGACGACCATGTTTCCACCGCTGCGCTGGTCAAATTTCCTCTGGTCTCAGTCCCACCGCAATTGGCTCAAGACCCTCTGGTACAGCTTAAGGACCTCAGTGCCGTTATTTGGACTACGACGCCTTGGACGCTTCCCGCCAACGCTGTGATCGCTGTTCACGAATCCTTGGACTATATGATCGTTCAGTCGGATACTCACGGTCAGCTTCTTGTCGCTCAGTCGCGGTTTGAGTACCTGGAACATATGCTGAAGGAGGATCTGACCGTTATAATTCCATCTATCCGTGGCTCAGAGCTAGCAGAGCAGACAAAGTATCGACCACTTTTCAAGTCAACCGACGCCGAACCGCAGCCGATCATAGCTGCGGATTTTGTCACTGCCGACTCTGGTTCAGGACTTGTGCACTGTGCCCCTGGTCATGGTATGGACGACTATGAAGCTTGTGTTCCTCGTGGCATTCCTGCCTTTGCTCCCGTCGATGACCATGGTAAATTCACCGACAAGGCCATGCCCAGTGACCCAGCAAGGCTGAGTGGAAAAAGCGTTCTTGGAGAAGGGACTGCCGCTGTCCTCGAGTACATTGAGTCGCAAGGCTACCTGCTGGCAAAACATCAGTACGAGCATAAGTATCCTTACGATTGGAGGTCGAAGCTTCCGATCATCATCCGAGCGACTGAACAATGGTTTGCGGATGTGGCAGACATCCGTAGCAGCGCTGTAAAAGCTTTGGACGATGTCAGATTTGTCCCTAGTTCTGGAAAGCAACGCCTGGAGAACTTTGTCAAGAACCGTAGCGAATGGTGCATTTCACGCCAACGTGCCTGGGGTGTCCCAATTCCCGCCCTTTATAATCGGGCAACAGGCGACGCTGTGCTCACCCGGGACAGCGTCTCGCACATCATGTCTGTGATCGAGGAACGAGGCATAGATGCATGGTGGACTGACGATATGAATGACCCTGCGTGGATTCCGCCCACATTGCGAGATGAGTCCGGACCCGGCTACAGGCGCGGCACTGATACCATGGATGTGTGGTTCGATAGCGGTACGAGTTGGACAGAGATCGACACCCCTCCTCGCGATGGATACCCGGCGGATGTTTACCTAGAAGGCACCGACCAGCACCGCGGCTGGTTCCAGTCCGGGCTTCTCACATACATTTCCCATCAGCTTGCCTCAGGGCAGAGTGCTACTCCTCGAGCACCATTCAAGAATCTCGTCACTCATGGGTTTACTCTCGACGAAGAAGGACGCAAGATGAGTAAGTCCATAGGGAATGTGATTCACCCACAGTCGATCATGGACGGGACCCTTTTGCCCCCTCTTAAGCCGAGGAAAGGCAAGGGGAAGCAGCAAGAAAACAAAGAGCTAGTATATGATGCTCTGGGGCCTGATGCGCTTCGAATGTGGGCGGCAAGCAGTGACTATACACGGGACGTCGTGATAGGAAAACAAGTGCTTCAGACCGTCAACACCAGCTTGCACAAATTCCGTGTGACCTTCAAGCTTCTTTCGGGTGCGCTGTCAGATTTCCGGCCACAGGACCAACTTCCATACAGCCAGTTGCAGCAAGTGGACCGCATGGCGCTTTTGCACCTGTCCGAGATGGTCCACAGTTGTCAAAAAGCATGCGAGAATTTCGAATTCTACAAGGCTGTGAATGCAATGAACCGGTGGGCCAACCTTCAGTTTTCAGCATTCTACATGGAGGCGATCAAGGACCGTCTCTATACCTATGGGGAGAATAGCACCAGCAGACGCGCCGCTCAGACGACCTTGTTCCATATCTATAATTACCTTCAGGAAATACTGGCTCCCATCACGCCCTTACTTGTGGAAGAGACCTGGGAACATACCCCAGAAGCCATCAAGCTGCAATGCGAGCATCCCTTGAAGCGTGTAGCCTCGACGCCTCCTGTCGACTGGTTGAACCAATCTCTTGAGGCCGATTATCAGGATATCGCTGGGGTCGGTTCGGTAATCAAGGCTCTGCAGGAGCAAGCCAGAGGCAAGAAGCAACTAGGCTCTTCTCTTCAGTCCTTTGTTCATATCATATTACCTGAGGACAATTCGGCCGGATCCGCCCTGCGACACAATCTGTCAGAGCTGGATGATATGTTCGTTGTCTCTTCGGTCACGCTCGGCGCGCACGGAGAGCCTGTCCCGCCTGCCATTCTTAACGCAGAGTGGCAGTACCGCGACGTGTATGAACTTCCCAGTGGGGGAAAGGGAACTGTGTATATCTACACGCCACAAGCGGATAAGTGTCCTCGTTGCTGGCGCTATGTTGTCCCAGAACCTCAGGCTGATGGCACTCTGTGCAATCGTTGCGAGGATGTTGTGCGAGACCTTGATGCGTCAACTCCTGGCGAGACTGTTACTAATGGCACTGCCTAATTTCTCTTCTGACCCTTGCGTCTGAATTCTTATTCGTCTGTTCGGCTCTTGAATGAAACTAGCTATGTACTATGGTTTCCCGAGCTTGATTATGTACAGTGACCCCCTCCATTCTGATTCCAAATTTAGGTAGTATTACAACGGATGTGGATTACACATCACGTCAGGGATTGAAATGATACCTAGGTAGCGTACAAGATTGATCTTGATGTTCTTAGTTACAGTAAGTGAGGGTGTTCTTAGAGGAGACTAGGCAGCAGTGGCATGATGCCGCGACTTCACCGTTGCAAAAGACCTTAGGCAGTTGTAGCTCAGGTAATCAGCCATCTTGTGATCTTGTGACCTGAATCTCATCTTTATGTAACATCCAGCTGCTTGCAGCCTGCATCAGCTCTAGAACCTTGGCGATTATAGGTATCAATGAGTGTTATTGGTTATGAAATGTTTTGCTGCACGAGTAGAATAACTTCCCAGTTTTGATGACGCCACCATCGAGGTCAGCATGACGACTGCCCCTCGTAGCCCGCAAATCAATTCCCACAAAGTACGAACGCGGGCAAAATGACGACAATCGTTCCACGAAAGCTCCTCTTTAAATTGATGTTAGCGGGGTGCGAATCTCGTTTTGACGTGTCGATCATCGAACTTGGTTATCCAGTGCCAGATCGGATCGGATATTGATCATCCCTTCTTGGAGCTATAAAGAGCGGAAGTGCCATAATTCTCGAAGCTGAAGAACACAGTTTGGAGGCAATACCGCGAATTTGCACTATTCAAGATGTTCGACTCGATGTTGTCTCATACGAAGCGCCCGTTTCCCTTGCCTACTTCGACCTCGTCAGTAGCTCCAATACCTACCGTCATCCCCGGGGATACTCCTATCTTCCAGGAACTTGGAATCACTGGCAAGCGGACATTATGGTATGCATCTATTTGAAGGATTTCGCCGAAATCATGGCTAATAGGCTCAGGGTGGTTGCGGTTCTCATGGGACTCTCGTCTTTGGTCTTTTATACGCTTAGTGCTCGGGTGCCTTTGGTATGTACTGAAACTGTCGTACTCGTGGACCGAGACTCACACATCGCAGTCGAAGCGCGTCTTCCACACATTGGTCTCCATCATGACCACCGTCTCATTCATCGTCTACCTTGCCCTCGCAACGGGAAGCGGCATGGCCTGGAAATACGACTCTCTCAAGCACACCCACAAGCATGTCCCCGACACCACGCAGGATCACTTCCGCCAGGTATTGTGGCTACGCTACCTAAACTGGTTCGTGACCGAGCCACTCAGCCTGATCAACCTGGCGTTGGTATCGGGCCTTCCTGGCGCGCATCTACTCGTCGCCATTGCGGCTGATTATGTTATGCTGGGCTCCGGACTGCTTGGCACCTTCGTGGGCCACACGTCGCGCAGATGGGTCTGGTTCACTGTCAGCGCTCTGGGATACCTGACTACAGTTTACCATGTTGCAATCAATGGAGGCAAGGCGGCGAATAACAAGGATGCACAGACTAGACGGTTCTTTGCGGCTTTGTCTAGTGTGACTTTGGTTGTCAAAGTGCTCTACCCGGTGTATGTGACCACTCTTTGAGGCGATGTGGAAGTGAGTAACTGACATATTTAGTGCTCTCGCGGCTGGCCCCCTGGCTTTGAAGATGAATGTTGATTCTGAGGCCGTTGTCTTCGCCATCTATGACATCTTCACTCAGGGCTTACTTGGATACTGGTTGATCCTCGCGCACGACAGCGCTCAGGGAATGTAAGTAGATGTCTCATAATATCCTCATACCTGACGTGTGTCAGACTAATTCTTCTCAGATCTCTCTATGTTGACGGATTCTGGTCTAATGGCATCGGCAACGAAGGAGCTATTCGAATCAGCGAGGAAGATGGAGCGTAAAGATTCAATGCTTCCTGAATCAAATGAGCCATGGGTTCAGCAACAATCGCACAGAAGTGCGACGAATGCTTATCACGAAGGCCTCACTAGTGAGAGCAAGAAAGGCTGGCTGGGTTTTTGAAGAGAACATACATCAGTGTCTGTTTCTCTCTTTGAGGAATTGCTATTTTGTGTGGAATGTATCCGCGATAATCGGTTCAATCGTTACCTGGCTTTTGATGATCAATGATGGTAAAGAATGTATAATACATTTGATAGGTCGAACAGATCGGGTCCTTTAATCTTAATCTCTCATTTCAAGTTAGGGAGGCAGAGGATGTAGGCAGAGGATACCGTTGTGTTAATAACTAGCCTTTCTTCCCTGACAAATCTCTCTATCTGCGTCTTGCTTCTTCACGGAGTACTTCTTCCGGAACGGGTTGCGCAGAGGAAGCTGTTTAAAATTCTCAGAACCACGGAACGGCATCTCCCCAACTTTCTTCCCGCCCTTTAGCTCGATAACCTTCAACTCCCTGAGCGGGTCGATCCTGCGAGCGGGCACTGGGTCCGTCGATACATCAAGCGGGTAATGGATCGCGACCTTCCTCATCGGCCAGGGGAGGTAGAAGCCGGCGTCAACGCAGAAATCTTTGAAATTTATGCATTTGAGATGCTTAGGGTCAAACCAGTGAATGAATGGGTCAGCGTCGACGACGAAGCCGGTCAAGGTCAAGGTCTTGATGGAAAGGCGGTTCAGTGTACGGCCCATGACCATGGCGCGGACTTTGGTTTTCTCGATGGCGGTCTTGTCGAGGTACTCGCCGGCTCCAATTTTGGGGTCGAGGGTCCCATCACCTGCGTGACCACTGTTGGGGGGCATCTTAGTCTCGCTCTGGAATCAATCGAGGGGTAGGTAGCTTACTAGTAGACCGGCTCGCTATAATGCGATTCATCTAGCATCCAGCCGCCCTTGATATAGGGCCATCTCTTACAAGCCCTGCGGCGGATCCTTGGTTCAAGCGCCATCCCCAGCTCTAACTCCTCGAGATCGGTGTTGAGCCAGGCGGCCTGCCAGATATACTTCTGGTACGACTGCATCATCCCCGTGATTTTCAGCACACGCAGGTTGCGAAACTGGCAAAGCGGGGCCATTTCTTCAATGTTGAGCATGGTCTCCTCGACTTCCTGACCCTCTTTGACGGGCCAGAAGACGTCGATTCCTAATGCGGTCAGGTCCTTTGGGAGGTGGTTCCAGGTTGCTCCGCCGCGGAAGTATATGAGAGGTCTTGCCGGTGTTCCTGGCTCCTGGGGGGTGGGGGTAGCCAGAACGGACTCGATCTTCTCGTTCCTCCTGCTACTTGCCATATTGAAGGGAGCGCGGAAGCGCCGACGGCGGGTTTCTGATGAGATACTGGGGGCTCGTGTTGGCGAGCGAGATTGAGAGCGCGAGCGCGAGCTTTTGCTAAAGTCGAAGAGACGGCTCTGAGAAAGGGAACTTCGAGCGTTGAACGAACTCAAACTCAGCGCATCGCTCATGCTAAAGCGACGTCGCTGCTTCTTTTCGACCTCTACTTCCTTCGCAACGTCCTCAATAGGCGGGAGTCTTGCAGGAGTCACGTTGAAAGGGAACCTCAAATGTAAAGGTAAAGTTGAACTGCGATCTAGATTATTATGTTGGCAACGCATGAGCTTTCATTGCTAGAACGAAGGTTGCGATACGCTGTTGGCAGACTTGGCCGGGGAGGTGGAGGAGCTTACTGGCTTCGATGCTGTCGTTGATGGGCTGGTTGAACCGCTCTGCGTCTCTCCAGAAAGCTTCCCCGAGTAGTGTTGCTTTCCAGTGCGAAGGGAAGTCTTCGATTCTGTTTGTTTCCATTCCAGCAGTGAGATATGCTTGTCAAGACTTGGTCTTGAGGGCTACCTCAAGATCAATATGAGTTTTGGGATGGAAAGCGATCAGATAGATGGCACACGGTTCAGGCAAGATCGGGTGTCAGACCGCTGCACCGGGAAGATTGAGAAGAAAGATAGAAACAAAAACACGCTTCAGGCCCTGATCAGTGTTCCTACGAGGCGCGCGCTATGGCTACTAGTGAATACCATTTCTGTTGTGTGCCAGGGCAATCGAAGACCCATATACCATACCCAAATCATAAACCATCGCATCATTCCCGGTGGACTTTCTAAATTTGATCATAGTATCCGATTGTAGCCAAATCTCTTGCTATGAAGCAAACTATACGAAGCCTTGTCCGAAGTTGTCTCTCAAGCGTCTCAAATCTCAGACCAAAGGCTCGCCTCATTGACATCGCTGGTCCTTTCTCCTCTGAAACCGCAGTGGAACATCCTCTCTCATTGATAGTGTCAGCACTGAGGTGCTCTCTCGCAGCACTCTTTCTGCATCCTTACGAGCTTCTGGGCTGTCGTCTGCCAATTCGACCTTATAATCCCGGGAAAGAACCGACAACGCGGCAATGAATTCAACCTGGGCAAATTTCTTTCCCAAACAAGCCCGAAATCCATCGCTGAAAGGGATAAATGCCCCCCTTACCGGTTTGTGAATAGTAGGATACTCTAGACCAGGTGCAGCAAGTCCTGGTGTCGACGCATTCTTTGCTAGAAAACTGTTCTGGTTTCTTGCATCCCATCTTTGAGGATAGAACGTTGCAGCCTCTGGGCCCCAGTATTCTTCTGAATAGTGGAGGCAATTTGTGTTGAGGTTGACGTTGACTCGCGGTGGTAAAAGGTACTGCTTGCCTTGATAGTTGAGGGGACTTGGGGTTTCGGGCGTGCTTTTGGGTACTGTCACTACAGGGGGGTAAAGGCGAAGGACCTCAAGCTGTATTCAGGTCAGAATAGTGTGCCAAATCACTAGGAGGGGACAAACCATCACGCATAACGGTGTAATCAACTTAGGGAACATGCGATGATAATCCCATTGAGCGACGTCTTCAGGCTCGCCGTGGGCCGCCTCGAGAATACCTTCGTATAGCCAATCTTGAACGCCCTGCTGTAATGCCAAGAGTAGCAGCGTAAATCGCAAAGAAGTTGCCGTGGTTTCGTGCCCTGCAATGGTGAAAATATGCATATTCCCAATGATTTCCAAATCGGTCAGGCCAGTGTCTTTCGAGCTCCCAGTTGCTGCCTCTTTGTTTCTGGACAATAACAGTCCCTGGATCAAGTTTTGGCTGCCGTCAGCCGTTTTCTCAGCTTTACCAATGCTGATCAATTTCCGCAAATAAGTCTCTAAGTCCCTATGAGCTTCAAAGTCCGATTTGAGGCATGGAATAAATGCTCTGGGAATCCATCTCGGTACGACCATAGTTGCCAAAACAACCGTCATGATCCTTAGATTCATGTACGCCACAGCAGACCGGAAGGTGAAGCTGAATCCCTCTGGAGGCTTTGTCGTGTCTTTGAACATGTCATTGGGGCTGTTGGTCGACTCGTGTGGTAACGGCTTGAAGGGCAGTTTCACCCCCATGCCAGCACCAGAGAGGACATTCAGACTAAATTTTAGGAGATCCCCCCGGGTGCTCGCTACAACGAAACCTTGCAACTTCTCTGATGTGCCTGATGTCTGCCAGTGACGGAGCATCTCTGTCATCTGACGGATAGACTCCTCCCAGACAAGCGCGCTATTCTTCTCGTTGAAAGTTGGTGCTGTGTGACGCCTGTGATGCGCCCAAGCTTGGTCTTCACACTACTCCGAGTCAGTCACCAGTTAGAGTCTCAAAGACATAGTCCAAGAATGCAGCTCCTACCGTGAGGAGATTGGGTCCGTACAGATTTAGAAACCCTGTCTGCATCGTTAATCCCTGGCCGAGAACCCATAACACAGGTGACTTGTGGCCGGAAGCCAGATGCTTACCATATTGCCAAATCGGCTTGGGGAAGCTTTGACGTGCATTGCATATCTGTGAAACGAGGGAGGCATCTGCAATATGGCAAACTATATTCTCCGCCGTGACAGTCATATACATTTTCCCCAGCTTTTTTGCACGTCGATCTTTAACGGTCCATCGGTAATCATAGGTTTCGTCATTTATGATATCGGCCAGCCAGCCAGGGAGCCAGCAGTTGATGATATACGGCAGCCATTTAATACTGAGCAGTATTTTCACCTGCAAACTATTCCCAGCAAGAGGCAACACGGTATATGGAAGACCTGTACACTGAGCCAGGCGGATGTTCTTGAAAAGACGACGAAAATAGTCAAAAGCATACAGGCCTGCGAGGCCCAGTAGTACTGAAGACCAGATCATGGCAGGCAGAGCAGACCCTTTGCAGCTGAAAGATAAAGAGTGCCATATAGCTTACTCGTATCATGTTCAAGTTGTAAAGTAAGAGCTCTCACTGAAAGATCTAGAAAGAAAAAGAGAGTAGATATGAGCTCAAGCGCCCCGCTCGAGCTCGCCAACGTGGGAGATGCAGGGCTATCACAACAGTCACACGTTCGGCATCTCTATTGGACAGATCTGGACTGTCAGTTGTTAATCAACAACAGACTAAGCATCAAGTTCCACAAATCATAAAGATATGAAGCGATTCTTATCCTAGGTTCTCGAGAAGTGGACCGCTTTCAGCAGCTTTTTTTCCGCCATGGAGAGGCGATTTGCAAGCGCTACACTGAGAGGTCTAGCAGACTACAGTATCTCCGCTCACAGGGGCATCCGTCTCTACAAGGAACGCTCAATCTCCCTTTTGAGCTAGGGGCATCCTATGAAGACACAGTACTACCGCGATAAATGACTTTCTCGAGGTTAGTTTGTCCCGAGGTTGTATAACACACGGGTGTTGCTTGATCCAAGGTGGGACATGGAGAACTGAGAGACACGGCGAGCCAAATTATACTTGATTGTTTGCCATGGAGTCCTTTTACTACGACAGGGAGCTCAAACACAACTAGTCGTAATCCTGAGAGGAGGCTTCCTCCACTTGACGCTCTGCAAGCCTTAGAACCTCGTCTCGGTCAACGGAGTCAAGACCCTTGTCTCAATTAGATGGTCAACAGCCGCGCCCGCAAGTCCTGTGAGAAGTTCCATAGCCTCGACGTGGGTAGCAGGCTGGTCTATAGTTATATTAGTATACATGTGTCAGACTAATCCACATCTTTCATATCATGAGGCATGATGCGGTGACAGGATATAACAACCTATTTCTAGCAATAAGCTGCTCATAATGTCTTGCAGCCTCATACTGAAAAGGCCCATGATGTCAAGGTTATAGGGATTTAGAAAGAAACGAAAAGGGCAAAGATCGGTTTAGACGGTTGTGTCGACGGAGATATTGAAGGAAAAGGGGGAGAGAGGGGATAGACAGGATAATAATGGGTTATACATCGATCCTTCAGAGGTTATGGCAGGGCAGAGGATGGGATGATAGAGATATATATCTAGATCCATTTAAACGAAAAAATGACCATACCACGGCACACTTCCTTACAGCTTCAAGAGCTGCCAAAGCCAGACATGCAAGCGATCTATATCTGAGGCTATCGCAAACGTTGGAATTCAAACAGAAGAGGGTGATCCAACCCTTGAGCTTGCATGGGTTGGTATTACACCACACTACAGCAAATGATACATGGAGCGTCTAGTTTCTGTGGATCAATATTGGTTCCACATCTAATAGCAGGGAGCTTGATGCGAGACATCCAGATCCTTGCAGTTGTAATATCGGACCACGTGCTATCGTGCTGTCTTCGACTGTCAACAATCTACGAAAATGGTGAGCCCTTGTTGGCAGGTAATTATGCTTCGGATCTAGGAAAGGAACAATGACCTCCATCACCACTACTCGTACGAGGAAATGATCCAGCACTTAGCATGATTCCTCATGTTTGTTCACGGAAAGAAGCTAGTGGTCATGACTGGCGAATGGGTAGCTTTATTGACTCCACGCTATTTTGCTTTTGTTTTCCCTTCCCGTGATAAATACATCCATGGACACCATAAGTAGCGTAGCCGAGCGTGATCGAAATCAAGTCCTGTCTAGCATCCCCGTTCTTCCAGCCAAAAAAGAAAAAGTTGGAACCCGTAGGAAAATAGTCCGATCAAAAACAGTCATGCAAATTTATCCCGTCACAGCACTAATTTAGTACTTCTTGCCCTGGCGCAGAACATCACTGAACTCCTCCAGAGGGCTCCGGATGAGCTTGGTCTCCTTCCACAGGTTGGGAGTGAGGAAGCCGTAGGTGTTGACGACGGCAAGGAAGGTAGCCTTGAGGGTGTTCTCGAGGGTCTTGGTGGAACCGGAGGACGAGGTGTAGGCGTCCTGGACACCGGCAAGCTGGAGGAGACGCTTGACAGCGGGGGAGGCAACGAGACCGGTACCACGGGGAGCGGGGATAAGCTATAATCGCGGTTAGACATGTGATATTCTGCAATACATAACTATCGCATTCGATCGTAACATACTCTGACGGAGACGGAACCACACTTGGCGCTCTGCTTGACGGGCAGAGAGTGAGGCTCACCGAGGTTGGTACCCCAGTAACCTCTCCGGACGGGCAGAACGCTGAGCTTGGCAATGATGATGGCGGCGCGGATGGCGGTAGCGACTTCCTTGGAGGTCTTGATACCGAGACCGATGTGGCCCTCGGAGTCACCGATGACAACGACGGCCTTGAAACGAGTACGCTGACCGGCACGGGTCTGCTTCTGGACGGGCTTGATCTATAGTTTCATAACCGTCAGCAACTGCCAATTACATCCCAGTATATCGCGCAGATTCCGCCCAATCCATTCAAATTCGAGAACACCATTTCCTTTTCCCATAATCCACGAGTTTATCATGCACAATTGCTCTCTAGAAGATGTTCGCAAATGGAATTGTTCGTTTCGTACCTTCATGACCTCATCCTTGAGCTTAGGCAGGAAGAAGTCGACAATCTGGTACTCCTTGACGGGCAGAGAGTGCAGGTAGATCTGCTCCATGCTGGTGATCTTGCCGGCCTTGACGAGACGGCCGAGCTTGGTGACGGGCTGCCATTCCTTCTCCTCCTTTGCACCGCCGCGACGACCACGACGGCCACGGCCACGGCCACGGTCACCACCACGGTCACCGCGCGAGCCAAATCCTCCACGTCCACGGGGAGCGTCAGCCATTTTGTATGTTGATGGCGATTGAGAATGAACCGGGGGAGAGGTGTAACGGACGGGAGGTGTCGTTCGGAGGGGTTGTCGACGTCGAGGTTGACTTTGCTCGCTATCCACAGCTGTTTTGGCCCCTACGGAAATTTCGCTGGCGGGTGTGCTAAGCGAGCCAACAAGCCCTACGAGCGGTAACCCTATACCCTAGCGGGTAGTCCCAATACGGTAAGCCGATTAGACCCGCATCATGTGACGGGTGGGCTTCCCCTTCATGATGTTTTTCTCCAATAGTTTGCGGGCGTGGCGCTGATTTGTCCATGTTTTCCTGTTTTGAGCACTGCGGTTACTAAATCATCATCTTCTTATCGGTGAGAGTCTCGATACTTATCATCTGCTCCGCCATGGTTTTCTTTTTCTTGGAGTTCTCATTGTCGCCTTCTTCTTCTCCTTTTTAAAAGAGGGTATTTCTTTCTGAAATTCATTCTAACGCCGTCAGTATCAATTGGACTCCCAATAACTATTCTACGTCGAAAATGTTGCGGTGGTACGTCTACATACAAGCGGCATCGCCGTTCAATTGACGGAGCTAAGATCTATTCTAGGTATCAGACCAAGTTGGCTAGGCAGCCCATCCTCACGGCCAGCGTAACAAGCGCTGTATGATTCCTCCCTGCGACGCTCGAAATGATTTCGGTTGACAGAAGAATAGGTGCTTTTTGGTTGCGGAGATATTCTGGCGCAGCAAGCTGTTGATCGCAAGGGCTTCGATAAGCACGACATGGCAAGAACTGGACGAATGGCGCTGTATGGAGGAGGTGAGTTCCTGTACTCGGAATGCGAACACCCGTCTTCCTCGAATCCTAGTCACGAGAGTGTTGCTAACAAGAATATCTAGCGATCTTCGGACCGGCCGCGACCACATGGTTCGCCTTCCTTCAACGAAACGTCGTTCTGAAGAGCCACAAAGCTACGATTGTTGCGCGCGTTATCGCAGACCAAGGCCTCTTTACTCCTACCCACCTAACCTGTTTCCTGACATCAATGGCAATCATGGAAGGCACGGACCCCATCGAGAAATGGCGTACCAGTTTTCTTCCCAGTTACAAGGCGAACCTCACTATCTGGCCTCTAGTCCAGGGCGTCAACTTCTCAATTGTGCCACTTGAGTATCGGGTCTTGGTAGTCAATGTGGTCAGCTTAGGTGAGTTGCGTCTAGCTCAATCTTCTCGCTTTCACTCCGCTAATATGTCTGGATCAGGCTGGAACTGCATATTGAGTTTGATCAACAGCGGCGAGAAATAACTTTCTTACCATTTGAAGCATTGCGCGTCACGATACCCCCTTTCTGTACAACTGGCATTTATACTTTGGTCGGTTTCTTTTTCTTGCTGGTTTGATAGAAGGTTCATTCACTCATCGTATGGGCGCAGTGTTTTAGATTTTCCTCGGTACAAGCGCGGCAATATTTGCTTATGATTCTTAGATGCTTGGATTATGAGGCTGGTCCTTATGGGGTCTATTAAAGATTTATAATGCCAGCTTCTCACAAGGACATAGGGGACCCTGCGAACTTCACTCTTATTTAACTTAGATTCTGCTCTCTTTCACCTTAGAGTAGTATAAGTGTATATATACTAGATCGATGTCTAGATTCACTAGGATATCACTTCATAGCAAAATTGGCTTGAAAATATATGGAGGCTTGCAGCAACTATTTGTTAGGGTTCAGGTCTGGGCGCCAGCCTATTAAAGGCCTAGAAAGGGGGCGAGTCCCAAAAGGGTAAGGTAGCACTTTTCAAGCTGCGGCATCTCCAAACGCTTCAAAACTTCATTATTATTTTCGCAGACTGCATCACCGCCAACAGACGACTACCGCTGTGATTCTGCCTGGAGCAGACAACAAACGACTGCGTGATCCCCGCGCATAAACCGATTCTCCTCCACCTACCCTCTCAGACTTTCGCCTCTGGATCGCTCCTTCCTCGCGACCCTGTCAAAAATTGACTCTCACACCAAGTCTTTTCTTCGCCCCTCCGACAACTCACGTATCTCTCTCATACTCTTCCCCGCGCTCAAAGTTCGCTCGACTGAGCCTCTTACGAATTTTCTTTCTTCTCTCGGATTTATAAACCACAACCATAATGGCTGAAGTCTCAGAGAACGGTCCTGTACCGGTGAACGACGAGAACACCGCTCCTGGCGTCGCTACCGAACAGAAGGAGCAGACCGAGAAGACCGAGCAGACGAATGGCGACGCTGTTACAGTGTTCCATGACCCAGAAAATTTCAACGTGAAGCATCCACTCATGCACGAATGGACTCTCTGGTTCACGAAGCCCCCCAGTGGCAAGGTACGTCCGATAGCCTGCGGTGTAAGAGTAGACCCGCTAACACCGTTTGATTTGTAGGGCGACAACTGGAATGACCTGTTGAAAGAGGTCGTGACTTTCAACTCGGTTGAGGAATTCTGGGGTATCTACGTACGTCATTTCATTATCGATACCTGACTGGTGACCTATACTGACTAGGTATACTGGATAGAACAACATCACACCGACTTCTGAATTGGGTCTCAAGGCAGACTACCATCTCTTCAAGAAGGGCATCAGGCCAGAGTGGGAAGACCCCCAGAATAAGCACGGTGGCAAGTGGTCATACTCGTTCAAAGACAAGCGCTCCGTACCGATCGATGATCTTTGGCTGCACGCTCAACTGGCAGCTATCGGCGAGACTCTTGAGAACGATGGCGACAACGAGGTTATGGGTGTGGTCGTGAATGTGCGCAAGGGATTTTACCGTGTTGGTCTGTGGACACGGACAGTGGGCAAGAGCATTCCTGGCGACAAGAACAACGGCCGGACACCCGCTCAAGGGAAGGAGATCCTCGAAAACATCGGTCGGCGCTTCAAGGAGGTGCTACGCCTGAAGGAAGCCGATGTAGTCGAGTTCTCGGGACACACGGACAGCGCGCACAGCGGTAGCACTAGAGCCAAGGCCAAGTACACCGTTTAAACGGCCATGTGCATGGATACTCATATCGACTTACGATTGACAAGAGGAACGTCTCTTCGGCGTTAATGAGATGATTCTGTAATTACGGACGATGACGAATGAAGTGATAGCTTGAGGGACAGAATATCCGGGGAGACGACCCCCACATCTGGATTTTCAGCATTTTTCCTTCGATGGCTTTCTTGTGGCAACTGGCGATGTGTATCGTATCTTATCCTCAAAACGCATTTCTGATGAGCTTATACCATTATCTCTCTGGGTCCAAGGAAGGAAGAAAAAAAGTTGAAAAAAAAAGCGTCTTTATTTTCGCAATTGTACTTAAAGTGCCGTCCTGATTTCGAACAGTTTATAGATCCTCAATCCCGAATACGTCAGTAATTATTCTGTTATCATACTTCTTCCCTTCTAAAAAGTTCTTGGAATGAGCTTTCTCACGGGTAATTTCGTTGGGATGGAAGTTTATAGGAGTCGCAACAGGCAGTATCTCGACAGCGGGAAGTAAAGGTAATGATGCTGGAGACAGCAGCAGGAAGCCTGATATTCTAAGTATGAATTCTGCCTGGCTTCCAGAACTGCTTCTCCACGAAAGAGTAGGTCTGCCAGTCCTGTTTTCTTCCTCCTTCTCCCTCTCGGTATATTCTCCTCCATCGCCGTCAACCTACCCTGGCCCCATTACTGGTCGTCCTGGACTGTTGTACCGTTGTTACTATTCTTCACTCTACATCGCTGTGGCCCTTGGTCCGATCATGGACCAAATATGGTGTCCCCGTGCCCTTCCTTTCCTTGCCCTTTTCCGTCGTCCTTCAACCCAGATATACGCACTCCCAGAGTGCCTTAGGAGCTTCGAGGTGGCCGTTCTTCTTTATTTCTCTCATCTCCAGGGTAGACCCTTAAACCAAGTGCGATTACTACTTGTTCACTATCTGAGGCCATTTTAGCTTGGTTGGTGTATGGGTAGGTTTTCAGGTTCACATTAGTTTGTACTGATTGTCAATGTTCAGACAGTCGCGGTAGCAAGTGTAAATTGCTACCTTCTACACTGTGTCTGAGTTTCTTGACAAGATTGACGCGTATGTACGGTCTTGCGTGTCGTTTTTCTCCGTTCGGATTCAATGTGACGGTGCTTGCGTGCTGGAGATAATATATATCTCTACGGTGGAGACCATTCGCAAGACATCATCAGTATTTGGGGAGCCGTAATTTTCTATCTATTTGATGCGCTTATGCCACGTATAGACGGGAGTCAAGGTATATGGCGAGATATAAGATATGTGCAGGGAATTGTGAGTGTCATATGTTGAACCAATATGAGCACTCCTTGGCTGCCTTGTCCAAACAGCCTTACGATTGGCCCTGCGTCCAGTTTTCTGTCCGACTCTAACCAGGTGTTATCACATACGAGAACGGATGTGATCATGTTAATCAATCCCTCAGTATTCGAGGAAAGCCAGGCTCATGCAAGAGAGTTGAAGAACCGTATACTCAGCGGAGTGCGCGGGATGGATTTGGACATTACGATAATTGGGAGGCTGACATGCACATATGGACCTTGCTAAGGTATCAAGAGCAAAGCATGTCCTGCTCAAATTCTTTTCCTTTCAACTACAAGTGGTGAAAGTTGCACTTCAACTGATGTGATTACCACTCCCCGATGTCGGACAGTGGCCGGTATATAATAATGACTCACCGGGGGGGTTTACTCCAACTACTCCAAACACTGGCGATATTGAGAATAGCCTGCAGCATGCAAAAAGCACCTACCGCCCTTTGAACTGTGAATGAGAACGCTGTCGAAGCAGGCATATAGCTAGAAACACTTGAGCAACAGGTGAACCCAAGCTGATTGCAGAGCAGCATGGCTCCGTACTACAGAGCCAAAGACCCGAACTCCAGATGTTGGCTTCCCACAAGCGGCATGAATAAAGACTGCTGGCCATGACTCACGATCAACGTTTGACGATCTTGGTCGCGGTGGAGGTCCGAAGGGTGGACCCATGAAAGCATTGTCAACTGTGCTCCGTATCCCTGCTCCGTACGGAGTCAATAGATGCACATTGAGATGCATTCCATGCCTTTAGTATACCGTCCCTGAGGTCATGAGTAAAGTATGGCGTTATGCTGCCAGGTCTGCAGCCAAGTCGTGAACTGCCTTGTAGATGTCGACAGGAGAATCAACGCCGAGTGTAGTCAAGAACTCTACCCCAAGTCTTTCGGATCCATAGTGCGAAGCTCTATAGCTGACGTGCAGATCACTTGCAATTTGCATCGGAGCGGATCGCAAAATGCCACATGGTGCGCAAGGATATGTCCGATGCTCAAGGCTAGAGTAAAACAGCACCCCATCATCCGTACACTCCGATCCAATCAACGCAATGTTATCACTTAGAGATCGGCATGTAGTGTTCTACTCTGCCGTTGAATTAGACTCATAGCCAAGAAGTCAAGAAAGCCCAGAGTCTTGGGACTCTTGGAGTCTTGACGACTGACAAGCACGCCATCGATCATCGTGCCGGTGTCGGTGTGTACATGCTACTGGCTTCTCAGTACGCAGTTGACTCTACCCTGCCCCAGAGAGCCAATTGGTCTAATCTCAGCACACGAGACTAACTGGTTGCTGCCTCAATATAACGTTGGCTTGCGCCGCCTCACTGCACGCTGATAGGCAGCTGTCGCGCCCTTCGGGGTGGAAGATGGCCACCGCCAGACTTGACTCGCTGGAGCCAGTAAAGCGGAAACACACCGAAGAGAATATTCGGGTGAGATATCACGAGGAGCTCTTGCATTGGGTGGAAGTGATGGCTACTATGTAGCTAAAGTTCGATGAGGCACGGAGCGATGACGGAACGGGTCCTCTGACTCGAGGGCGAAGTCGGAGCGAGAGCGGGCTGGCAGATAAGGCTTGAGTACTTAACCCGCCAGGTCGCTGCCTCTGGCCAGGCACTGGGGCTTGTTCTGGGCTCTTGATGATTTTAGCGTTAAATTGTTTATTTTTTGTTTGTTTCTTCGCAAACGATGGGAAGACATCCTGCACCAATTGCTCAATTGACAACATCTCTGCTTGGTGGTTGACCAGAGAGAGTTGGACTTGAACAAAGACATCCAACCAACCACCACCCACTGACACTTTGATAATAATAATAATAATAATAATCAGGAGTCTAGGTACTGGCAACGCCTCGCAATGATCAGACCCCCTTTTCATTGTCTTTCTGACTGCGCGGTCTGAACCGACCGGAGGCCCGATGGCACTCCAGCTCCACCTCTTGACGCCTCGACCGCTGGCTACTCAGTCGCCGAACAAGATTGACAGAACGAGACGGACTGCATGGCCTCATCCCAACAGGAATTGGTACAACTATCCAACGTTGAAATACTGAGTGCATGAATGCCAAAGTGGCGACAATGACATTGGCTGTTTAAGGCCATTGAATGGGGCATGATACGATGATCAATGATCCCCTCTCCGCAACCTGGGGTAACGTTGCAAGCGGAAGACCAACGGATTATGGAGTCGATTATGGAGCATTGAAGCATGAACTATCTCAGATAGTTTCACAAGCTACAGGATCTTCCCCCAGCTGGGAGCCAGCAATGAGAAGTCCAGACCTGAGACCTGAGACCTGACCACTTACAACCGGTGCATAACGAATCAGCTCCCAGTATCTCGAGCCGAGTTGAGCGATTCAATCGGTTATCAATGGAAGCTGACAGGGAGAAATGTGTCTTGGGAAATGATTAGCATGCGGGGTGCCCCGAGGTTACACACGCGCACACGATCAAGTGGTCTCAAGGTGATCCATCATCCACCGTACAGGGGCGGGGGAAATGTAAGATTCGACGGGAGACACTGGCCGTGAAAACTGTCAACCCCAGACCTCGGACGAGTCCAAAAGTGAACATGAGACCTTCGGAAGCTTCGATTGGACGATTGCAATCCCTCATTGGATGCTACGAATGGGAGTTGCCGTGCTTATCATCCAGGGTGGAAGAAACCCTGCTGTTAGCCCTGGTCAGCGACATTTATGTTACCTAATTGCCGGATGCGGAATGAACCCCGGTGGCAATAACAGTCCAATCATCCGACAAACAGGACTGGCGATTTCGCATTTCGACGCACGCACTTTTTAGTCGGATAAGCCACGGCACAGAAACAACCGAGGCCAGTATCTGCGGAATAGTGATATCCGGGCTTCTGAACGTCAAACCTCAAGCGAGTGAAGTGCCTTTATTCAAAGGTTTTAGGGGGAATAAAAAAAAGAGGAGAAAAATCAGGCAGAACCACGAATTGAATTTACTATTAAGAAAATCCTTTTTTTTTTTGCTCCCTTTTTTCCGATTTCTTTTGGCTATTGTGTGAAAACTCTTTGATTGCGGATATTTCTTTACTGATAACGGATGTACTCCGTACGGTTGCGAGCAACTTGCATAGTGGCCAATATAGCCACGAGGGCGAACAAATATTTCTGTGGTTCCACCGGTAAGCTCCGACTGGGTTTACAATCTGATTGGGTGAATCAACTTGTGGCACCGGTCTTCGAGAAAGATCAAGAGCGACGCCCAGTTCCCGCAGCCAATCAGATGGTTAGTTGGCTGATGCTTGACACTGCTTGTCATATCTTCGCTCCTAAAATGAGGATTATGAGGTTACATTGGCTGGCTGGCCAAGACATTTCGGCCTTCCCTTTCTCAGTTTCGCCTGCCACACTGTTCCAATTTCCGGTGTCCAGCGTCCACAGATTCTCAGACACACAAGCGACGGGGAGACTTTTTTAATCTCCGCCGATCGCGCAATTGAGGGTTCGCGGCTCGCCTGATTCAGTGAATCAGAGATAAGACCAGTCCCGCATTGGCCCTCATTTCCCTCCCTCCAGCGCGAGTATAAGGTCGGTCTCCTCCCCTCCTCTGCTTCCTCTTTCGCTCGATACTCGTGAGGACACAACAAGCCCTTCAACTTCCTTCCCTCCCACACGGCTCGGGCAGTCATTGCTTGGTTCTCTTTGCAAAATGTCTACCAGAGATCACGAGGTTGAGGCTACTCAGTAAGTCTCGCTTGCCAGCACACTCCTACACCTTTTTCACCATATCTCTCGCCCGCTGTCACGTGTGTCAATTTTCTGACTCCATTTGTCTTCAATAGACCTCATCTGCAGGACAATGTCGTTTCCCAAGTTGTTCTGGACGAGAAGGACCCGTATGCCGTGGAAAAGGCTTCCCTAGAGACCCCCGATGGTGAGGAGCCTACTGCGGAGGAGGCCAAGAACCTCCGTCACATCGCCGAAAACTTGCCCGTCTCCGCCTGGCTTGTGGCTATCGTCGAGTTGTGCGAGCGTTTCACCTACTACGGCATGTCGGGTCTGTTCCAGAACTATGTGAACAACCCTCTGGACGGTAGCAAGGGTCGCGGTGCTCTCGGTTTGGGTCACCAGGGTGCTACCGGTCTGACTACTTTCTTCCAGTTCTGGTGCTATGGTGAGACATGTCATACCTGAGCTTCAAACAGGGACGAATATACTGACATCACTGGGTCTAGTTACCCCTATTCTTGGTGCCATCATTGCTGATCAGTACCTCGGAAAATACAAGACCATCGTGCTCTTCTGCGGCGTGTACCTGGTCGGTCTCCTGATCCTGGTCTGCACTTCGATCCCTACTGCTCTCGAGCACGGTGCTGGTCTTGGCGGTTTCATTGTCGCCATTCTGGTCATCGGTCTGGGAACTGGTGGTATCAAGAGTAACGTTGCTCCCCTGATTGCCGATCAGTACAAGCGCAAGAAGATGGCTGTCTCGACCACCAAGAAGGGTGAGCGGGTCATCATCGATCCTGCTCTGACCATCCAGCGTATCTACATGATCTTCTACGGTTGCATCAACCTCGGCTCTCTGTCTCTGCTGGCTACTCCTTACATGGAGCGGGACATTGGCTTCTGGTCCGGATACCTGCTCTGTCTATGCATGTTCGCCTGTGGTACCCTGGTGCTCATTGTTGGCCGCAAGTACTACGTTGTTCGCCCTCCTCAGGGCTCGATCATTACCGATGCCTTCAAGGCTATCGGAATTATGATCGCCAACCGCAACATGGATGCGCCCAAACCCACCTGGCAGGCTGCCAATGGTGGCAACAGACCCAACCTGCCTTGGGACGACCACTTTATCGATGAGCTCAAGCGTGCTCTGGTTGCTTGCCGTGTCTTCTGCTTCTTCCCCATCTACTGGGTTGTCTATGGCCAGTTCTCTGGTAACTTCGTCACCCAGGCCGCGCAGATGGAAGGCCATGGTATTCCCAACGATCTGATGCAGAACTTTGATCCCATCTCAATTATTATCTTCATCCCCCTCCTGGAGACCCTGGTCTATCCTCTGATGCGCCGGTTCCACATCCGCTTCCGTCCCATCACTCGTATCTCCCTGGGTTTCATCGTCGCCTCTCTTGCCATGATGTACGCCGCTATTGTGCAGCACCTCATCTACGCTGCCGGTCCTTGCTACGACAGCCCTCTCTGTGACGCCTCTAAAATCGACGGCACCGCCCAAGGCAACCATGTCCACATTGCCATCCAGACCCCTGCCTACATGTTCATCGGTATCTCGGAGATTTTCGCCTCCGTGTCCGGTCTGGAGTACGCCTACACCAAGGCTCCTCCTTCAATGAAGTCGTTCGTGCAGTCTATGTATTTGCTCACCAACGCCTTCGGTTCCGCCCTGGCCGAGGCCTTGACCCCTGCCGCCTTCGACCCCGCCATCCTGTGGATGTTCGTCGGTCTGGCCTGCGCTTCGTTCTTGGTCGGTATTATCTTCTGGCTCGTGTTCCACCACCTCAACGCCCAGGAGGACGACATGAACAAGCTCGACGCCGACGACCCGGATACTCCTCCTCCCCGCGTGCACACGGACAAGAACTAGACCGGTTTAGGTCCTCTTGATTCCCCCTTTTTCTTCCTCTAATGTATAGTAATATTTGTCTTCTTAATGTTCGGATATCCGCAGGACGAGGTCTACTTTTGACTCGCGCGGGCACGCGTAACAGCACCTGCTGAGCAGATCTGAGCGATGAGATGTAAATAAATGAGACATGTTCTGATGACGTCTTTCCACCTCGTATTCGGTAATAAGCAGCTCTCCGCATTCTTCCACTCCATACTCCTGCTGTACTACAGTCCTACACGTGGCAAGCAAGCACGCGATCGCAGACAGCAGACAGTTACACCGGGCCATGACTGTGCAGCTTCAAGTGGGCCCACCAGCGACCGTTCTTACAATCGGCCGACAAAATAAACATGACAGAAAACAATAACAAATCAGCTCCTGGGTCCATTGATAAGTACTCCGTACCCAAGGAATTGATTAATGATCGTTCAAGTCCAAATAGAGCTAGACCATCCCACTCTCTCAGGAATTAGTCTTTTCGTGGGATGGGTTTGTGGAACGAAGGTGACTTATGTCCTGACTGAATAAGCTTAGCTTGACGCAGGGACTGGGTCGGTGGACTCAGTGGATAAGGGGGTTTCGGAGGTCGAGGCCTGTTCTGGTTAGGTGGTTATTTGGTTGGGGTGGGCCGATGTTTGCGCTGCAAGAAAAAAAGATGGCTGGCGTGCCGTTTTCCGTTGATTTGATGGAATTGATGGATTTGAAATAACCAAGAGGGAAGTAGTGTGTGGATGTAATGAGGTTGCCTACTTTACTGGGGAGATAAAATTCCTTTGAAGTTTGGCTAGGTTGTAGGTTGCTACTCTAGTGGAGGGATGGATGCCTTTGGTTTGAGCGTGTTCATTGTGTGTCTGTTAGCTATCAAACTACTAGGCCGAAAAAGGGTTCATACGGCCATTTCTAGCACAGTAGGAATGAAAGGCATATTCTGGTTGACAGTAACTCTGCATGCTGATATGCGGTCTGGCGTCTCACTGCGTTCAGGACCTAAGTATATGTACTCCGTACTAGTAGATGGAAATAGGGAGTCCTCCAGAGTACAGATCATCCAAATTCAGCGGCTTGTAAACTTCGTGACTTGCACGAATCAATTGTGTAGCACTGGAGTCAAGCTAGAGTCAAGCTTTTCTGACCTTTCTCAAGCATGTAGAGATTAGAAAATTCTATTCTGGGGGCCGTTTGACGAGATGCATTTTTGACAAGTTGACGATCACGCCTCTCTTCGGCTGCTCTTGATGGAACTCGGAGATTGGACACAGTTGCACCAAGTCAACGACATGCAACACATCTGATGTTGACCCAACACTAGATGGAGGTTCCGGAAGGCTTCGTTTAGGGTTCTTCCAGCAGACCCTGAGAGCAAGGCAAATGTTCTGAGCTTGCATTTGTCGAAACTCATCAGCAGAAGTTATTCAATGACTTCACCCTTAGCACCTCACATCACAAGAAGACAGATTCTTCAGATCAAGCGAACAACCTCGAATGTAAAACCTCGCTGACTCCAGATCCTCCATTGGGAGAATGTGCTCCAGCTCACGGCCTAGATGCTTAAAGTACGCATTACATCTGGCTGATCCGTTCACAACAGCGATCAACACATAGCGCAGCAATGGCTGCCACTCAGCGCGGAACCTCCGTTGTTGTCTCTCATCATCTTCAACGCCTGGTGGTCTGTTGAAATGTGCAATGATCCGGTTCTGATCCTGTACCAAGAAAGATTCAGCGGTGTCGTTATATTGAGAATTTGGTCCACTCCGCACACCGTCTCATACTTGTGAACGAATTCAGTGCGTTGATCGCGCTGGTTATCTGCTTGTATGCTACCGCGTCAGCCTTGGAGGCCTTCGCCCAAATGTTCTCGAAGATAAGCCGTACGCCGTCCATTGAGCGCTAAAGGCACGCCCGCATTGGTTGCTGTGATACCTCACGCAGTCAGAGTACACCGGCAAGAATACGTCCTCCGGCTCGGGGTACGATGCAAGGCCCAGCGCGACGACCCATCCACCACGAGCCTAATCACCGGCCTGGAAGACACTCAGGTTCTTTTGGTCTACGAGCAGAGGTGGGTATCCTCGCAGAAGTGTCGGACGTAATCCTTGCTGAACGCTCTCTGGGTAGTTACTGCAAGATGCAAGATCACGATATCAGGCTTGATGATTTGCACCTCGAGAACGGCACCGCTTATAGTGAATGCTCGTGGTCAGGGCCGATATTCTACTAGCTGCGGCCTTTCTTTGAGGACGGCCATGAGGACGAACACCAAGATGACTCGGAGCGACATCCGATAACTGCTCGCCGTCCACGGGGGGTGTGCATCGGACCATCCTTCAATCCACCCAGGTCCTCCGTCCACGGGTCCCTTCTGACGATCGTAAGGCCGTTCGCGCTTTTCGCGAGGTGGAGGTGAGCATACTCGAGCCGCGCTCCGTAAGAGCGAGTGTCGCTAGCCTGATCAGAAAGGCTACAATAATGGCGTATGCCGACAATGAGGGCAGCAGATTGTCGGACACCATGATGAGTGATCGTGACTACAAAAGAGTTATTGTCGGACTCTCCATGAGCCAGGTACACCACCAAATTTATCATAACCGCTGCGTGATTGAAAGGAGGCTATGATGGGCCTGGCTGACAGTAAGCAGCCCTGGATACTGTGGCTGAATCTACTCGCTTTTTGAAAGGGCATTCTCCAATCATCAGCACTGCGGAATACGAATGTAAAGCCACGACCTTTGCCCAACGGTTGGTTTCAGCTAAGCGCCTGAACAGACTAACACAAGACTGAAAAATGCGGTCAGGCGCGGCCCTGGTTCAGTGGCCAATGGTTCCGATACACTACTTCACCGGACATGTGCAGCTAATGGCCTGGGAGACTATGAGCACCGGGACGATATGAGGAAGCTCCTAGCGCGCCGAGTTTTGGAACATCAATGCGTCAGAAACGACAAATAAGGGCCGTTGCATCACGCTGTTGGAATGGGTTATCAGAACCTTGTCTATCTACTCCTCGAACACAAAGCCGACGTCAAAGCCAATGGGAAGACCTGCGATCGCCGGCAATATACCCTTGCAGATTGGGAAATAAGTGGCTCGCGGAATGTCCCACGAAGAGGCCGAGTGCATTACCATTTGCCCGTTCGTTCACAGTAATGGATTCAAGACACCAGGAATGAAGCGTCTCGCAGAAGACGCTATCTACGGGACCGACTGCTCAGGAAAGACCGCCCTCCACTTTGCACAATCAAAACGCTGCTAAGTCTCCTAGGGAGCAGCATATGATAGAACAAGAGATCGAATACGAGAAGCCTTCTTGACGTTCCGGAAAGCACTGCGTTTATATGGATGAGCCCTACACTATGCCACGGAGAACGGATATTTGGATGCAGTGAGGCTGCTTTTGAACTACGATTGTATCAATGTGCAAGCGAGGGACAATTCTGGCAGAAGAGCCATGGATTTGGCTGGATAACAACATCTATGACGTTTTTACTTTCAAGATTGAAGAATTGGCATGGCTGATATTTCAAGAAGACATCAGTATATTCTATTGTTCTCATGCTTCAGTTAATTCATGAAGGAATAGATTAGCTAATCAAGCTTGCAAACATGCCACAGCATTGAGGCTGTGTGCTAAGCCATTTTGAGAACTGACGATCGTTGCTAATTATAAGCTGACCCAGGCAGAATGATAAGTTGATGACCATTCATTTGTGAGCATTCAAGACAAATCAGGTCGTGCTTTGGAGACCGAGCCCACATGCTGCCAAATGGGTGGGCCTAATCTTTGCCACGACAAAACCTGTAGTTTGGTGGAAGGGACTGATGTGGGATGCTGGGGATAGATCGGGCTATTTTTACCAAAGAATTGCACCAGACTATCCGCCATCTTATAGCTTAATCTCCTTTGATATCGAACGATACAACCAGGAAGGGCTATTGGTCGGTAGACACGACCTACCTTAGGTAACTGGCCGGGTAATAATTAATCAAAACCACCAACGCCGCAGGTTTTCTAGAAACAATTGCTGAGGCTCTGAAGGTGCTGTTGACCAAATGTATGCATAACGATGACGTGCAGACTCAACGCCTCCATAGCCAAAACTTCTCGGTGGATTTGAAGCGCAATCCGTACCATTATCGAGGATTCCAACAACCGGCTCTCCGGCTCTCTTCATGGGCATGCCGGAAAAGGTAATCCTCGGATACGGGGAAGTGTCAGCAGCATACTGCACAGCCTGAGAGGAGGTAAACGAGACGGCCAATTGCTGAGCAGGCAGCCATCATTACCAAATTTAAGAATGAGGACCAGAGCGTAGTTGAATAGCTTCAAGTAAGCAGACAGATATGCGGAGAGAGACCCTCTATCAAGCTCATCAAAAGGTGAAACCATGGCCTGTCTACCCATCACCACTAGCTCCGACCGTGACGTTTCACAACTATTGATTTGGTCTCTCAAAACGTGAGCCAGGGAGAAAAGGGGACTTGACGATCAGCTAGTTTGGTCTGTGCATAATCCAGCAGCCCCTGTATGATTACTATCATTCATCACCATCAATAAATTTCAAAACAAATCAAAAGTAGTTGCCACGAAGCTAGCTTTCAGCATCAGCCACATTCGCACAAACAATATTCAAGAACGAGGGGTAAGCGAACAAGGACAGTAGCAGAAGTAACATCCTTATCAACCACCAATTCATTCTCTGTTTTCTATGAATAGTTGTTGATCGAGCTTCTGTAGGACCCATAAGCGCCTGATCGTCATCACTTCTCTTCTTTTAATATTATTGCCGTCCTGCGGGTCCAGAACTTTGCCTACTGTTAGCTCCGAAGGAATTCAGAGCCAACCCTTCGCGCCTTTCAGAGAGCGCTTCTGCTTGCCGTTCCGCCTGCGACTGTCCGCCTCAGCCGCGTGTCTCACTGTCATTTCGTCCCTTTCTTCAAATCGTTCCATTTTTTTGCCTTCGACATATTCAGCCCTC